CTGTTCACATTACATGCAATGCAAAACATGCCTCGGCTGCAAGGAGCCAGATCAACCCAGATCCTAGAGTCACCACACGAACACAACCCATCGGCCAGAGCTGCCTCTCCTTTCTCCCAGGCAGATGAGCACACGCACCAGCGGGTCAGCACATCCTCGGCCGGCGAAGACGCCTCCTTGACGAACAACGTGTTGGCTTCGATGAGTCTGGAGCTGAACTCTCTCTGGTGACGGACGTAGTCCAGCACCGGCTCCAGGTAGCAGGGCCAGCAGTCGGCACGGAACGGCACCCGCCACAGGCGCTCGTGCAGCTCAGGCGCCAGCATGGCGGCAGCTAGGCGACGCATGCTGGCTACGTCCTCCGGCGCGAAGGCGTCGACCACGTGCAAGTCAGGCGCGGCCAACTGTCGTAGGTCGGCAGGAGGAAGCCGGGGTCAGGTCAAGTTGGAGGAGAGCGAGCGCATTAGGTCGCCTTCAGGTCATGAGTGGTGACCCGCTGAAGGAATGGGGTGTAAAGTTACGGGAGGGGAGGGCTTCCAGAATAGGCGGATATCCAACGAGCGCACGTTAATAGCGAGCGTCTAGGAGCCATTTAGTTCGCTCTTCAATCAACAGCTTTGCATAAGCAAGAGAGAAATTCAGCTCGTGGTTGTTCGGCATTGTGGATTCAGAGAAACGAGGCTATGTACCAAGCAATGGTGAAATTGTCGGTATGCAACATTTCAGGCTCTGCTAAAAATCACGAATGCATTGATACAAGTGAGTAGCACTTTTGGCCCCGTTATCCATAAGCAGAGTTTGAGAAGCACCGAATAGGTTGCTGTATCCAGTGGTGGCTCCCCAACGTCGTTAAGCCTGTATCTCCTGGTATTTGAAAGGCTGATTACTTAGCATAAGAGCTCTGAACTCATGAGTTTCATCTACAAAATTCTCTCTCGAAAGGCAGCAAGCACCGCGGAGACCTTGCGAACATTGCCAATGTTGCTTGGGTCTTACATGATTTCCTGCTCTAGGTCCTACTCTGCTGTCAAATTTCAACGGATTGTCTGTTCGCGTGAAGCTTATTTCAGCATGTTCTTTTATCCACTGACCGTAATTACAATAGACACTAGCGGCTTCGACGTGTCGGGGCTTGCGTAGATCCAATGCTTGCACGTGTTGACGCCGCGCTGAATCAGAAGCAGCAGACACCTCGACTGTAAGGAAAGCGGGGTCCATAGTTAAATGACAATGGTTTGCACGCCATCATCCAGAAGCTTTCGAAGCTGACGGCGATAAAGAGTAGTTGCAAAATCGATTGGCTAAGAGTGCTCGACACATCACACCACACCACACACACACCACACACACACACACCACACACACACACACACACACACACACACACACACCACACACACACACACACACACACACACACACACACACCACACACACACACACACACACACACACACACACACACACACACACACACACACACACACACACACACACACACACACACAGAGACGAAAGCTGAGGCGAGGTGGACTAGCATCTTTTCGGCTGATTAGTATCTATGTCTCAATGAATATCGCAGGTTGCTTTGCTGTGTTTAGAATTGAGAGAAAAGTCCTTCCACCTGGGCAAGTGATATGAGGTTAGCAACAACGAGCATAAATCTAAGTGCTCCTTTCACAGCGTCGACAGTCGTACAGCTAAAAAATTGTGGTGCAATGGTGTCTGGGAAGAAGATTTTTGATAAGTGTAACCGGGGGCTTCCATCCGGCTTATAACTTATTGCTTCTTAACGTTTATGATTGTGTTGTTTACCCCGTGTATCTCCTTCCCGTTTTGCAAAGAGCGTTTAGGGATTTTCTGTTCAACATGTTTGTCTGTTTAACTTTGAATCGGAAATACCTATTGGAAAATGAAAGCGAGTCTGCTAGTGTTAGAAGCGAAAGCATTTGGCATGCCCTTGAAAAGAAATATCGCATTTATGGCACCAGCCAGTAACCAGCCTTTCTCACGAAGCAGAACTGATGTAAAAACGGTTTGACTAAACATATGTAACCAAAGAACCGTGGCAATGGATCAATAAAATGCTGCACATTACTCGAATTCACACCAACTATACCTCGATACAAGTTACAAAGTACAGTTCGTCGTTTTCTTGCGCGAAATAAACCTGTATCTGTATATAAGTCTTGGAAAGATGACACAGAAGGATCCGCAGAACCGCAGCTCAGTTAAGATTTTCAGAGCTTGATTTCTCTGATTCGAACATTTTTTTCAACGCCTTAGGTTTTGAGTCTTCATTTTTGCTTAACACTGTTCAATTATGGTCACCGGGCACTGGGGGATAGATCTCTGACTGAATGAATGACGATATTCCCGGATAGTGAAACACGGCTGACCCAGGGTGCAGTCTTCGTGGCCGCCCGTCGATGGTTTTAGAGACAATGGAACTGAGTGAAGAGAAACGGGCAGCACCCTCGTAAAAGGCACACCGAAAAGCGCATCTCTGCTATGAAACAGAGGGCATAAAGTGTGCACTCATGTCAACATCGCATTTACTCTGAATATAAAACAACCGGAACACCCAGTGCGACTACCAAAGGTAGCGGTCCTGTGCACTGCATCGGTTTAGCGCGACGTAAGAAAAATTCTAGACGAAGCTCGGCACTTTTCGTCGATGGGAGGTTTCCAAATTTCCTGGGCATATCAAGCATTTGGTTGTCAAAGCACACTCCATGGACATCTTCCCCTCTTGCAACGATGTCATAAGGGCTACCCGAGAAATTGATGCACAGAGAGAACTCACTCTATCACTGTCGCGCGAGTGGAAGTACCTCTACATTTGCTCTTGAACACGTCGCTACGCGACTGGTGGAGCTGCAGGAGCTGGTCTGCCCGTCTGGCGACAACGGCTGCACCGGTCATAGTCACAAAAACAGAGCGGTCCGGCAGAGCCAGCCTGGGACAGACAGTCGTTTATCGTCTCATTGGTACTCCTGTGTCAGACCTGCGGTGCCAGTCTAGTGTTGTAGGACAGAACACAAGCCCCTACAGACTATTTCGACTACTGAAGGCAGAGCACTTCAGCGAGTCGGCCAAAAATCAGTCAGAACGGGTCTATCCTACTAGGATCGGTAGATCAGTGATCTGTATCCGGCACAGCTGTCCTACCCGGACCAACCGGACGTCGCGTCAGCTTTTGGCGGCACCAGACAATGACTGATGACAAGTTACGACCCGCCACCACCGAGGCAAGCTCCAAACAGTGCTGCACTATCTGGAACATCACACTAAGCAGGAATAAATGGTCTATAGGCGATGAACCAGAGGCATGCCCGGGAAACTTATATCATGCTTGGCCCGAGCTCGATGCAAGCATTGTGATGATTTTCGAATGCTGGTTCACCTACGTTACACGTCAGAGAACCACACGTCGCAAGAACGTGCGGCGGAAGCGAAGAAATGCGTAGCGGCTCAAACACACAAATACAAATTTTGAAGTTGTATGCAATGCAAAGCACTTTTAGGAGAACATCCACTCCTATGTGGACAGCCCAGCCAAGGAGATCAATGTAACGAAGGGGACACGGCTCGACAGGCGTTCCAGAGCGCGAGCACTCCCGGATTCACCACTGCGGTCCACGAGCTGCTGATCCACTAGCCACGTGTTATGCTGCCAGCCCATGTCCTCTGGTTACGATGTTTCAGCCCATGACCTCTGGTTACGATGTTTCGGCCCATAACCTCTGGTTACGACGTCCTTTCAACCATAATTGAGTCACACAACACTCAGAACAAGGGAAGTCTCCGCTTCCCTTGAAGCCGGTTGGGGACGCCAACTGGCCAGGAATCTCCCCTCTGCGGGAGCTCGGCGGCGATGGGGGGCGCCTGGCTGCCCACTGCGCTGTCCATCGGAGCAATGGCTCTCACTTGAGAGAGCGCAGGCGCGTCCCCGGACAGCAGAGCCGCTGATGGCGGCCACGGACCCAGCGGACTCCACATTTGTATGAGGCTTTAAACTGAGATAGCTTTCTTGAATCATTCGGTGCAGATCAGAGCTCTGCCCATCTTAAGACCTGGAGTTTCCAGCTTCTAGTCTTTCGCCTAATTTCTGAGCTATGCACTCGCGAAGACGCGCGACTTTTTCGGGAAGGCTATTTTAAGGATATCCAGGCATCCATGACGTCAGAAAAACATAATCAAAGTGTTGCCATTTCACTGGCCATGTGGCGGTTCACTGGCACAACAATTATTGTCTTTCATGTCTGGCGCCCGTGAGCACCATTTGCAGACATAATGACCGTCTATTTACACTTAATCGATGTGCAATCTATGCATCACTTTAACGCTGCTTGCAACTAGTTTCATAAACAGATAATGCCGTTGAATTGAGGCGTAGGGAGCAACTTTCTGGGGTTTTACCTCTAATCTGGCTGCAGGAAGTAAATAGCAACTATTTGCGTCAACGCCCGTAAAAGTATGATATTTACGGAGCATTTCAACTAGTCTGAATTAATCTATACTTCACCAGGTATCCATCAGATTACATAAGCGCAGCTGACTTGACCGTGGAGTAGACATTCACCCCGGAACTGAAATAGATTAAAAATAAGCTCTGGTCTGTCCTAAGATCATCATTGGTAATCATAAAGGAGCCAGCTCATGGCCGTGCAAGAGCGAAGGATTAGGCCATTTAGACCGAGGATCAGCCTGCAGTGAGACATTGCTGAGACATGAAGCGATGCCAACATCACACGGGCGGTTGAGTTTGCATATATGAGAAACTCAATGCAACTGTAGTTCGTACAGATTTCTGGGCATCGCAAACATAAGAACTGTGGTCGAAAAAGCTGGCAGACCGTTATAAAAATCAATCTCTCTCCCACATGACGCGCATTTCACTGGATCATTTTTTCACTACTGTGACATGAATACACATTTTGTGTTAACAAGACACACAACATAGAGTAGGCGTAAAGTCAGCTATTTTAAGAAGATTTTGTCGTTGTTGTGCATAGTTTCTAGATACGTAGCACAAGAAAGCTCAGGGTATGGATGTACGAAACACGAGTACATTTTGTTTTACTTCTTCGTATAGTGAAACAATACCAATAATTGTACACTTTCTGCATTCCAGCGAATTACAAAAGTGATCGTGATTATTCTTTGATGTAATTGTCACACAAATCACGAATGCATCATCGAGTTAATCCATAAATGACCAGATTTTTTAAGTCACCTTTAAGATATTCCTGGATTTTTAATCAGCATGTTAGCCTTTTGGGGCCAAAGCAATAGCAAGGTTGCCATGGGAACGACCGTTTGTATCGCTATTGAAATTGCTTCACTTCGGTATTTTACGATTAATTTCCAAGGAGCCATGCCAAGTTAATCACGCCGGCGTAAGAAATAGGAAGGTACGTCGAAATTACTTCGACTAGCAGGGAGTAAGTAGGAACTTCTCTTAATGAAACCGGATGTTGATTATCGGTCATATAAACTAAAGCCCTTTCGACCATCAATGATCATTTAAAGGCTATGGGATGAAGATGGACAACGGTGAGGCAAGTCTACACGCGCCTGGGGGCTAAACGCCGAGAGTTAACCCGCGCAAGGGACCGCTCTGCGGGGTATGCGTCGTGCACCCGGTCGGGGTTCCTCTCCAGGTTGCCTCTCGGCCCACCCGTTCTGGCTTCACTTCGCTTTCATTATCATCCTTATTTCTCTCCTTATGTCTTACAAAACACTTTTCCGCGAGATGGCGTGGCGTGCGGTGTATCTATCCTCCGCGGGCCACGTGCTGCGTTTTCCAACGCGCGAGTAGGTTCTCAATTTGCTGCCATGAGATCAGCAGCCTAACAGCCTGTAACATGACCGCGGTCGCATAAAGTTTCTATGACGTCATTACTGCCGAGACAACTTTGACATAAGCTCCAAATATACCTTTTCGTACTTTTGCGGGCGTGTAACTCAGAAACCAGATCGCTTGGGTCTTAAAAAGGACATGACCTTAAACTGCATCAAAAGGTCCTCAAAATAGCTATTTCAGTTCAAAACGTCCTACAAATGTGGAACATTCTCTTGGGCCGCACTGTACCATTTGACGTCACTCGTCGGCTGAGGCGGGCGAAATCGGCTCCGGTAGTCCGTATCCGGCAGTATCCGAATCATCATGTGAAGGGTTGCGAGGAAGTGGGACAGTGTCCCAACCCGTGGATCTCACGCACGCTGACTTCATTGACACTGGGCCTTATGACCAGTGTTCTGTATTAACTCTGCACCTTTCAATACGCATCCGATATAAGGCCAGGGCAATCAACACTGTAATGCCTCTATACAGCATAATGAGCCCCAAAATTCCCCCAAGCGGGACTTCCTTGACCAGTTAAGAATTAACTTCGTTTGCTTGTGAATTCTTTACTATTACGAACAATTGTTCTTGGTCGTCTAGGCTCAAAGGCGTCCAATTTGATGTGTTTTTGTTGTTAGAAACTGCATCCGCTCGGTCGGTTATGGATTCCTTCGGAGCCTTTAGGTTCCCTGGGACATGTTTCATGGGGGTATGGTCCCGTGCCTCAAGATTTGGCCAAATTTGGCGCGGCGGCCCCGCGCCGTTCGGAAACTATTCCGGAAAAATCTTCGGGGGGGGGGGTCAACGTGACTCCCACCCCAGCGCGTGTTAAGTCACAGCTCGGTCTCCGGCGTTGGCAGCGCTGTCCAGCCTGTAGAGGTCGTTGATGGTGTGGTTGCTTGAGCTTGGGCCGTGGCAATGGTTTTGGAAGCTGGGGACTGAAGCTCCCCACCCAAATCAGAGCCCAAAAGCGAGACGGCCCATTGGTCGTCTCCTTTACCACAGAATGGATTACTTACAACGCTGATGCGCATCCCTTTTCTTGACGTAGCACAGGCGCTGTAACGGAGACCTCGTTTGCGTAAATATTGCATGCGTTACCTTCTACAATCACCATCCAATTCACATCTTAGTCTCCAAATAGCGTGACGGTGTGCTAAGCCGGGGTTTAGTTTGAACTTTATATCAATACTCGAATCACTCGTCAAGCCTCGTTCACTGGTCGCGCCGCGGCTCTGTAAACAACACGTAGCCGTACCTTGGACTGTGATAACATCACAGAATATGATGTCGTTGAAAATGTTTAATACACATGGCCGTGCATCCTGTGAAGCAGTCTGAGTTCTTTCACGGCCCATTTAAACCTATGACGTAGGTGAAGCCTTGCGGCTCAGGACTACTCACCTTCGCTGTGATTGGGCCGTGTGCCTCCAGACGAGCCACAAGATGGTCTATATCCCCTTCGTTCACCAGCTGTACGTCCTGTTTGTTCATGGTCGGACCGAGCATGAGCCCTCACCGCCCCTAGGCGCGCCGATAAAGCCGACTGACAGCTGCCCGTTGGCGTCCCAGACCCATGGTGACAAGAGGCCCTGCTCCGATCCGATAGTGTCAACACCTGGTCTTAGAACTCTCCCTCTCAAGGCCGTTCTCGGCTGCAGGCGACGGCGGACCGTCCTGGCACGCTGCTTGCGCCAAGGTCGGGGTGTGCAACGACCACAGAGCATGTGTCCTCCATGGCCTACAGCGCACCTTACCGCGAGATGGCGTTGCGCGCGGCACATCTACCCACCTCGGGCCGCCTGCTGCGTTTTCCAATGAGCGAGTACGGTTTTTGTTTGTCACGTTTTGCCTTGGCGTACGCTCCGGAAGTGCGCGCCAAGACGACCTAGCACCTAGCGAACACGCTACGGGACGAGTTTGACCACATTATGCGAGGCACCGTTTTAACTCGGAAAACGCCATGTCGTTCGATTGCCAATTTATTTCGACGTTTGATAGTGCCGTCACAGCCATGTTTGAGAATGGTTGTAAACGCTGTGTACGCATAGAAGTATTCAGGGTTGTCGATTTCTCAATATTGTTGAGGGACAGAGTCTTTGGATGCAACCGTATAAGGAAAGTTGCGTTGAACTTCTCGGATATTACCCATTTTTGTTTCTGGCATGCAATGATATATATACATACATACACATGCACATGTTATATATATATATATATATATATATATATATATATATAGGTGTGTGAAGCATATATGCATAAAAGCAACGGCAAAGTCAAGGTAGCCTCAGCGCTGGCTAACGTGCGATCAGCCGCACCGAAACTTCGCGTCACCGGCTTCGGACAACATGCCACCTAAGCCGAGCGCGAGTGGCCTTCCGTCGTCTGGCCAAATCACACCCAGCCCTCGCTTCCATTCCCACTATTAAAACCCAGACCGTCAGCTGTTAATCATGTTAATATCCATATATATATATATATATATATATATATATATATATATATATATATATATGTAGACGCTTCAAAGCTTGTATTTATACATTTTGACCGGCAGTTATACGCGCTACGATGACGTTTTCGTCGGACCGCCCGGCTGCTGGACGCCATCATCTTACACTGTTTCTTGCGTCGCACCGACTTCTGCTGGATAGACTTGCGCCCAGAACACGTTGCAGACCGAACTGTAGCCTAGCGGTTTCATCATGTTCATCACGGACGGCACGGCGGTTGCGACCAGGCAGGGCAGGCGGCGCTGCAGGAAGAGCCGGGTGAGCTCGGCCATCGCCAGCCGCGCCAGGCCTCGCCGCCGGTGCGACTCCAGCGTGTGCAGGAAGCCCAGAAACGCGTTTCTGTTGAGCAGCACCCAGCAGACGAGCTCGCCGTCAGGTGATGACGCCACGTCATTGTCGGCGGCGACGAACACGCCGACGCTGAGGCCCACCGTCATGCCGTCGCGCATCACACCGTCGGCATCGGGGGTAACCGCGGTGTACGGCCAGAAACGCTTGACGGTGTCCAGGTGCATGCTGTCCAGCGGCCTCACGGAGACGCCCGGCGGGCTGTGAACGAAGGTCAGGCGGGCATACACAGTCAGCGGAAGCATCAGCTGTCGACCGCGCGTGACATCCCCCTGACGTTAGTACATACAGTGAGCAGGGTGGTTCAGTACCCGTGGGTGAAGATTACGGCAACATTTATATGCAAGCTATTTCAGTTATGTTGACCCGGCACCGTATGGGGATATTTCGTCAGCCTGCAACCTCCCGGGCGTAGACCTTCCCCAGATATCTCAGGAATAGCATCGACCGATTGGAAACATTCAAGTGGCAACCAGCCATTCCGGAGGAGCTTTACCCATGATCTGTAGACATAATGCGGCTGATGACATCGCAGGCAACGTAGGACCGCACAAATATTCGTACGATTTGCTACGGCCCTGTTGGTGTTTGGTCGTACTGTTGCTCCTTGTCGTATATCTTTTCACTCGACACCAATACAAAATACTCGACATTCTGGCGCTTCAGAATCTCGTCATGATATTAGCAATAGTGTAGGTGGTCTGCTCATTCCTCGTCTCTGATTCTTTGGGGGCATTAACACGCGCCTGGGTGAGGCCAGTTTGACCCGCGAACGCTTTTTTCCAAAATGACTTCCGTACGACGCGGTCAAGTGGCGCCAAAACTTGGCAAACTGGAGGCAATTTTATGACAGATGTTTTTGTTCACAAGATTGAAATGTGCCCTGTAAGGTCGGTGTCCCATTGCAGGTCAAAAGCAGGCTGCTTCTATCACCGAAGTAGCATTCTGCTGTACCGTTCAACTGCACGCGAGAACAAGTTATTGGACGAGACCATACATCTCTGGAATCGTTTGTGATACACTTAGGCAAGCAAATTTAGGATTGCGACACATCACCTTGGCCTTTGGTCAGCTTTGAAGATAAGACCGAGTCGAACCCAATCTCCTTTTTACGGGAGTGCTTGCGTTATGGGGAAGTTTTTAATGATCATTTTGATTTTATAACAGCGAACATAAGAGACTTTTCCCTGAACTTCTTACATGTCAGACTAGATCACTGGCCTAAAATGACGCAGAGCAACATGTTGTCTAGAGGAACATACCACCTATTATAATCACTGACACTCGTTGAAATTGAAAACAATACAGCAAACTCATAGGTTTTTAGCCACCACGACCCTCTAAATGTCGAGGAAGGCCAATAAATCGCAATAGCCGCTAACGGCATTTAAGTCACTCGACGCAACGACATATAAGTATGTAGTGGCTGCATGAGGAGCTCTGAGGACACCTTAAAGACAATTCAAAAATTCTTTTCACCCTACGGTCATGACCTAAGAAAATCAAATCTGGATACACATGAGTTCACATACAAGGCCACCCCACTCTGTACATTTGGTGCCTCTAGCTTTGGATCAAATTGAGCCCCTCCTTAGCAAAGATAATCTTACAGCCACCCGGACGCATGTTAACACGCGCCCGGGTGGCCTACTGGATTCCTTGCTCTCGGGTGGGGGTCAATTTTCCCCTCCCTCTGAGATCCCAGGAGCTAAGAGAGCCAAAGACACAAAATCCACAAGATGTGTTGGTCTGTAGGTGGTCTTACTTAGGTCAAAATCTGAGGTTTCTAGGTCATGGCCTTCGGGTCAAATGTGGTAAAAGAAGGTCAAATTCTAGGCTGGTGTCCAAGTCGTCCTAGAACCTAGATACCTGTTTTTTTCCTAAAGGCCACATGCTCATGTAAGGTTACTGACCTGGTTTGATATTTCGCAGGTCATGGTGAACAAAATCATAAAAGACCGAGTTGAATTTTCCATTCGAATAGGCGACAAACGTAACGCTAGGTAGTATGTTCCTAAAAACAAAATGTTTACCTGGATCATTTTATATCAGTTACCTTTTCTGACCTTTACGAGATCCTTTGAAGATGCATAATGCTGTTCCCATTATCAATAAATTCGAAGTGAGCACCAGAAACTGCGCCATTCAGCAAGTCTTAGAGTAACACAATAGGTTGGTTTTGACCTTAATCTGGCATCCATACCCGAGTCGACACCATTGGAATACGGACATTCGATTGTTGTGTTGCCTAAGGAAGTATCTCAGAAATGTATGGTTTCTTCAAACACCCTGCTGTTGCATCGGGCTGAACGATTCCACAAAATTGACTTCGCTGAATCCATGGCCTGATTTTGACTTACCGTAGGTCAGTGGGTTAACGAGGTAAGTCTACTTTTTTGTATCAAGCGATCTGTCATTCGACTGTCTACATCTATGCAAAATTTTGGCGCGGTTAAACTGCGACGCTTAGAAACCATTGCGAAAAGATCCTCAGGGATTCAAATTTGCCCCCACTCGGGTCCATGCTAACACGCTGTTCAGTCGTATACGCATTCACGGGTATGAACGTGCGCTTATAATCTTTCACTAACCAATCGTTCATATTTGGCAAATACCGACTTTCGGGCACTGCATTTCCGTAGCACCAATAGAAAAGCTGATATTTCACCTCCCACCTGTTCACATTACATGCAATGCAAAACATGCCTCGGCTGCAAGGAGCCAGATCAACCCAGATCCTAGAGTCACCACACGAACACAACCCATCGGCCAGAGCTGCCTCTCCTTTCTCCCAGGCAGATGAGCACACGCACCAGCGGGTCGGCACACACTCGGCCGGCGGGTACGCCTCCCTGACGAACAACGTGTTGGCTTCGATGAGTCTGGAGCTGAACTCTCTCTGGTGACGGACGTAGTCCAGCACAGGCTCCAGGTAGCAGGGCCAGCAGTCGGCACGGAACGGCACCCGCCACAGGCGCTCGTGCAGCTCAGGCGCCAGCATGGCGGCAGCCAGGCGACGCATGCTGGCTGCGTCCTCCGGCGTGAAGGCGTCGACCACGTGCAAGTCAGGCGCGGCCAACTGTCGTAGGTCGGCAGGAGGGAAGCCGGGGTCAGGTCAAGTTGGAGGAGAGCGAGCGCATTAGGTCGGCTCAGGTCAGGCGTGGTTCCCCGCTGAAGGAATGGGGTGTAAAGTTACGGGGAGGGAAGGCTTCCAGAATAAGCGGATATCCAACGCGCACGTTAATAGCGAGCGTCTAGAGCCATTTAGTTCGGTCTTCAATCAACAGCTTTGCATAAGCAAGAGAGAAATTCAGCTCGTGGTTGTTTGGCATTGTGGATTCAGAGAAACGAGGCTATGTACCAAGCAATGGTGAAATTGTCGGTATGCAACATTTCAGGCTCTGCTAAAAATCACGAATGCATTGATTCAAGTGAGTAGCACTTTTGGCCCGTTATCATAAGCAGAGTTTGGAGCACCGAATAGGTCAATGTATCCAGTGTTGGCTCCCCAACGTCGTTAAGCCTGTATCTCCTGGTATTTGAAAGGCTGATTACTTAGCATAAGAGCTCTGGACTCATGAGTTTCATCTACAAAATCTCTCTCGAAGGCAGCAAGCACCCGCGGAGACCTGGCG